ATAGGCAAGTAGATCAGCCTCCAGTGCCTGACACACGCCGTCGACTTTTTGGGTCTAAGACATGTCGGTTTCCTCACGATGTTTTCCTTCACCGTTCGAGCAAATTTTAAATGCGCATATAGAAAGAAAGTCCATTTGGCACAGCCGGGGATTGAACCTACCACCTGAGGCCCACACTGCTCTAAACTACTAAATATATAGTAAAAATAATATATTTAGCTAGAAATGAAAAGGCTAATATAGACATTTTAATCACTCTAGGAAATTTCGGCTATTAGCTTTTAATACGATTTTTTTTAATAAAGAACAATTTCAATTTACGTGGAAACTGCGAAAAGTACAATAATATTAAGGAAAGGGGCTATAGGGAAATTTGAGTGGTTCGCTAATAAAGCATCATTTTACTGCCCATTCATCTTCGCAGGTCGATGTTCTGAAGTAATGATTTCTACAAGCTTCAATAATAGGCTATACAGTTACCTAAATAAGGTAGAGATGGTAAATTCAATATCTTGAGTCTAAATTTCCAGTTTGTTTAAAATATCTAAATAACTGTATTTGCTTTAGAATTCCTTTTATTTACACGTTTAACCAGATTTCTGTAATTTTTGTCTGTCGAAAATAGACTAAGAAAGAGATATTACTATTTTTATACTGGTTTTAAAGCATATACATACACTCACTTTCACACATTACACAATACGGCTGAATTAGGTATTAAAGTTATATGTATTTAATATTTTTTATTGTTATTTTTTAATGTTTCGTTAATGTTTGATTGAACCTTTTTGTTTACATTATGTATTCCATCTTTGGCTATATCTTTAGTATAATTGTTTATTGTTATACATAATTTAAGTTAGCTGTAGGAGTATGAAATAAATATGCTTTGACTACACAGTAATAGACACTTGTTATCAGCTTTTAAGGCAAACGTAAAACGACCCCTAAGTTTCGAAAGTCTAAGTTGACAGACTACAGATTATTATTTCGTAACCTATTGAGGTATAGGACAGAGACATTGCATCTATAATATTGATAATTTTTATAGCTTGGAGAAATCTTTGCCGAATATTAAACCTGGACCATGTAGGTAATCTAAAAAGCAGGCCTAAACACTCTGACATTGATTTAAACGAGTGTATTTGACAATCAATTCAAGGGTTTTGTTAGGAAGAGTGTGTTTGGCGTCCAGTTCAAAGAATCATTAGTAATAATTTTAGAAAATAGAAATTCGAACACAAACGCGTTAGTATAAAGCATAGACTATGTAAGTATTTTATTTTCGCTTCTGCTGGCGTCATCTATGTGTAAGAAGTGAGAGTTCCTTCTTCGCAAACTTCATTATTGAAGGTCATGCTTGCCTTGAAAAGCCCTTATCGTATATATATATCTGTAGTCTAGTATATCTGTAGCAGTGGGAATAGTCTTAACAAAACCAAAGACAAGATAAGTCATTTAGGACGAACCATTTATGTAAAAGGCAGATGGCATCCTCAAAACAAACGGCATAATTGTTTTATATTATATAGTATCGCGTAAAATATCAAGTTAAATTGTATAACACCTTTATTTGAAGCAATATTTTAACCCGTTAATGTTTAAATAATTTTTCATTTCCGTGTCAAATTGTAAAGCTTTTTGCTGTCAAAATTCAGTGCTTATGCACTTAATTTTGAAAGCTTAACGCTTCAGCGCCTCTTTGTATACCGACCTTGACGTGAACACGACCAAATTCCTCACAGTTTTTTAATAATTTTTAGAATTATCTGCACGTATAAGATTTGATTTATATGTTTAGATATTTATTACAATTGAAAAAGAATATTAAACTTGCATACACTGTTTAATAATTGATTTAAATTAGGAGATTATTTGTCGTTGAGAAACGTTTGTTTATAACATAATACATAGTGGTAAGTAAATTTTGAGTTAGATGTTTTAACTAATATTACAACAAAATGTTTGGTTCGCCAACATCGTAGTAGTAATTGATATTAGACGAGCTCAGTCCTTAAATTTATTTAAAGAGCTTCTTTTTGATATTTTTATTTCTGCCTCGTAATTAGCTCTGCTGATATGTATTAATTATTGTGACTCTGTTAACCTTTTGATTGTATTTGAAATTTTAGTTTCTACATATTTTTATTTATTATTATTGTTATTTTATCTTTAGATTGTACTTTATTTTATTTTAGTTATAGTAACGTGTTATTTTGAGTTTTTTTTTGTTCATAATTTTTGTACTACCCTCTGTAGTTGTTTCTTTTTCATTGTTCCACTTTAGGAACTTTACACGTTGCCTGGAAGAAATCGCTTGTTAGCGATAAGGCCGCCCGTTGCCTTATAAATTTTGTAACCTGCTTTTTTTGTTATGTGTATGTTTTTGACTAAGGTAATAAAGTATAAATAAATATGCTATATGTAGCAGATTTAGGAACAAGACTTGTCGTTTCTTGTTTTTTGTTTGAAGAGCAAATGGGCTTATGTTAGGCAGATGTGACTTACCATCTTAGCCTAGATCTTACCTTCCACCAAGTAAGGTGCAAGCTACGCCTGACTAAGTAGTTATGCATTTTATTTTACGGAAAACTACATAGGTCCATTGTACTGAAAATCGAAGGTAATTTATAAAAAAATATTTTCATTTGTTTGACATTGACAATACCTTTGATTAACGTCGTCACTTAGTATATCTTCTTACCTGTAAAAAAATAAAGAAGTTCAGTTAAGCACTTAAAAACCTCGGAAGAATGATAGTGAAATAGCAGGAATACAAAATTAGGTTCGACTGTAGGATGATATGCTTCTCTACTGCAGCCATGCGATTCTGTTAATCCGTGAGTTCACCTCGCACTAACAACGCTCCCTTCGTCACTCACGTCATTTTTGGAATCTCATTGTATTCTGTTAAGCAATTTCACATCACGTTTTGGCAAGTAGAGGGAGCTTGTAGTTTATTGTTTATCAGAATGCCAAATCGTAAAATGACTACTTCACGACTGATTTGAGCGTGACCGCCGCTGCGAAAACCGCAATGAGAGTTCGAAAAGTGAGTTACAGAATCGCAAGGCAGATACGTAAGAATCATACTACACTAACATAACCTACAAATATTTTCATTCAAACGTGGTTCATAACTCTAAGAAGTATACATGAATTGGTTGAAAAGTGCTGAATCGACATCATTACGATTTCAACTCTGAGCCAAATATCTGTCAAAGCAAAACGGTCTCACGCCTCACTGAATCTTTAACGGAAAACATATAAGAGTTCACAAAATCGGTTTTCAAAACGCATCACATGCAGTGTTCATTATCTTCGTAGTTGGTAGAAAAACTAGACGCTAATAAATGTAAAACGAAAAACAAAAATCCATATAATTTATAATAAATAAAATGTAAGATTCTTAATTCAAATTTACACCATAAAAATCAAAACCTAGCAAGAAATTCTCCGCCCCAGTGGCGGCTAATCACTAAGTTGTATGTTTACAAGAAAATTTTAACTGTAAGGTTTACACCAAGCTCCAAAGATATTTAAACAATGAGTCAAACTGATGAAATAAAAGATATCGGATACAGCAGGCATGGCGAAGAAGCACGCATTTATAGTAAGAACAAATTGTCAATCAAGAGTAATCGAATTGTGATGTTAAAATATAGTGAAAAACGCCCATGAAGTCGACATGGTCGATAGTTGAACGCGCTATCAGGCGTTCAAACAAACAAAGGAAGGCTGTGAATAGGAAATAATTGTCCGCGTTTTCGCAACATTTTTCGTTGATTCTCTGCTTCCATTGATTGTATTGAATGTATCGTGATGTTACATAGGCTGTCACATACCGATAATGTAACTTTACATTGGTGAGTGAACATTTACTGACTTAACAAAGTCTATCAAATCCTTTCTTTTATGTTATTCTTACGTATAGATGAAGAAATATAATCCATACATCTTGTAATTACGTAAATATTTCCCATAATATCCTCAATATTACAGCCGCCGTGTGCCCTCATTTTTTGCTTATTAGGCGGTAGAAAGAACTTGACAGTGATATAACGCTGTCTCTAATACCTTCAGGACGCCGGAAATGGAGGAAAGTGAGTCTGAAGGTTTCAATTAAAGGGCGTCAATACACGTCATTGAAGGGACGCTTTAATAGAGGCTCAGAATCGTAATATATTAGTTAGTTATTTATTATTATTATAATTGTTCATAATATATAAGTAATATAAGATAATAAGAATGAAACACGTATTTTAATCAAATACTTGTGCAGACAGAAAAACTCATAAATTTACAAACCAGCCTTGCAATTCTGTAACTCACTTTTCGAACTCGCACAGCGGTTTTCGCAGCGGCGGTCGCTCTCAAATCAGTCGTGAAGCAGTCATTTTACGATTAGGAATTTTGATAAGGAGGGAGCTTGTAGTTTATTGTTTATCTTCTGATAAACCGTAAAATGACTGCTTCACGACTGATTTGAGAGCGACAGCCGCTGCAAAAAGCGCTGTGCGAGTTCGAAAAGTGAGTTACATAATCGCATGGCAGTATCACACGGACGTAAGCAAACCTTTCATATAATAATTTTACGCAGGAAATAATAAAAAATCAATTTACTTGGTAAGCTTAAGGTGAAAATACAAACACGGGAAAATTACAACTAAGATAGGAAATTTAAACCATAAGTTTCCGGAGGATCAAGATTAAAGTTAAATGCGAACACTTTGTTTATGGTGTTAATTGAGTGGGTACAAACTCATCAAGATAGTGCAGAGTTATTAAAATGATGTTAATGGAGTCGCGAAACAATGCTACATTATCGTTTATTTAGAAGCCTAACTCTTAACTAAATTGGCTTTTACTCGTGACTTAGTCGCTTGGAATAAATATACTTAAGATATTATTATATTTATAAATTTTAAATAGGAGTAGAAGTATGAAAATAATTAATGTAAGAAGTTCTTTAGTATTTATCACAACTTAAAAGAAACTGCATGACAAGAGGCTCAACCATTTGTCTCTCTCATGACAACTTTGAAAAACCATATTATAACCGGGAGAATGGAGGTAAGAGACCGGGGGACGCAGACCAACCCGATGGACAGGTATCACAAAACCTGGACACTAAGGTCTCTGACGCCATTAACCTAGCTACAGATCGTCAGAGATGGGAACAGCCATGCAATCTGCCACTACGGGAACGGGAACATGACGACACTTAGCAGTAAGTAAGCGTTCGGAGGTGGAGGAGTACTCCTCTATGATATATATATATATAAATTTAGTTTAAAGTACACTTTGTGCTACTAAGCTTTGTAAATTTATTTACGATTAAAAACGTTAGCGAACGAGGTAGTCTTTGTGTCAAGTGCTTATAAGAAAGTCATTGAATCGGCCTGTTAATATTATTTTTATTTAGAATAAGGTATCTTAGCCGCATTAAACATAATACAAAAACTCACTAAATATATATATCTTAATATATATATTTCTTCTGTGCGTGTGTATGTGACTGAACTCCTCTCAAACGACTGGACCGATTTTGATGAAATTTTTTGTGTGTGTTCAAGGGGATCTGGGAATGGTTTAGATTCACAAATCAGCCCGGCAGATGGCACTGCAGTCGGTACTTTCATACTTTGCTTAATATCCTAATCGCTTTAAATATCATGCAGGACAACGTCTGTGGGGTCCACTAGTATATATATATATTTGAACAGCATAGCTCACACAAAAATCTCTAGTTTGAAGTCCCATAAGTATATCTACCACCATATAATAGGGCATGGGGCAAAACACTATCGTTAATTTCTTTGACATTTCTATATACGCGATCAATGTTTCTGCCTATTAACTAGAAACGACTGAAACCGATTGTATGGGTAAGGTAATCAAATCTAGGACCTTGACTTCACCTAAACGTTAACAACTAAACCTATTAGTTTGAAAATTAATTGTGACGTAATTAATTATAACATTATTAATTTCGTAAATATTTTCTTTTAGATAATAGGAGGGGCAAACGAGCCTACGGGATGCCCAATTTTAGTGGGTGCGTTGCCGGCCTTTGAGGGAGGAGTACCCTCTAACCGTAGAGATCGTATCTCTCAGGGCTGTCCCCCACAGTTAGCTAGTTCGCAAAAGAAAGTGCCTTGTGAAACGGACTGTGGAAGAATTCCAGCCATCAAGTTGATGTTGATGAAATTTTGAGTTGATATATAACAGTTGTAGTGGTAAAATTATTAACCTTTTTCAAGCACGGAACTGAATTGTTAGTGAAACTGAAAATCGATTGTCAGTTTTAAATGCCAATAAAAACGAAGAAGTTTATGTCATAGTAAACTCTTATAAGTACCCATTTGGCCTCTGTGAAATAGCTTACTTGGGGTTTTAATTTTGTCTATTTATTTTGGTTTTTACTGACAACGTCACGGAAAGCTATGTATTACACATACAGATAGTATAGAAAATTCCATTCATAATTATTTATTAATGTTTTAAATAGAAAATTATTTTACCGTAGACAATTTCCACTGATATTCCTATTATTATTCTTATATTCTTAGTTTATTCCACTACTAACTCCCAATAGCGATTAGGAATACATACCTATGTATGTCGGGATAGCTATCGCTTCACTAAGTTACTGTAGTATTTCCGAACCAATTCAAGTTAGGGTCCTTCAAGAAAAGAGCGAACCACTTCTTAAAAGGCCGTGAACGCACTCGCGAGACCCAAACCCTCTGGCATTGAGAATATCACATCAGGTGAGCCCCCTATCCATTTGCCCGCTGTTCTAAAAAAACTCATAATTTTACAGCTAATTAAAGTATGAAGTGAAAATTGTAAGAAATATATTAAACTGGTTATAAATAATTATTAATAATTTATAATTTTAAAAAAGTAATCAAATAAAGTTTTTGTATCATCTAAATAAAAATGTATTATTATTGTATTATTAAAATTATATAATAAAAAGTTCGTAACTCAATATGGTTCTGGCAAGTGTTCCAATGAAACTGGGCCGAGCATAAAGAATATCATGTCGTTGTCTTTTTGCAAACTCGTTCTCAATTTTAATCAATGCGATTGTAAGGTTCTAGTGCTTTTTTATTTCAAGAATCCAGAGGATTAATATTTATTTTTACGTGATTACTATTACGTCTTCGGTGAGATATTACATTTAAATTACAGTAGAAGTTTGCTAAATACTTCAAATGATATGTGAAATAATTTTTTGTAACATTTGGTTACCTAAACTGACATAGGTATATTTAATATAAAAGAGTTTGTAACATATACCGTAGATTTAGTACTAATTTTGTGGTGGTAAACTTTCTTAAAGAAACAAAAAAAAAGCTGAATAATTTGTTTTTTGCCCGTTGTCTAATAATAAAAAGTTTTGTGCATTTTGTAGTCGGTTATATTTTAAAAGTCGCAGGTATTAACACCAGATGTTAGTTAGTATAAGTAACTACTAACATCCTGACTTAAAAATTGTTGCGAGATAGATTTTTAGAAAAGAGTTGTTAAGCTTTACGAGGATAATCATCAATATAAGAGTAAATACAGACTACCACATGTAGTCACATAAAATCTGTTTTTCAAAGTTGATATACTAATCACCGATGTCTTGATACAAATGATTATACATTGCGATGATAACCATGAAAATATAGTCAGATTCTGCAAAAAACAGATTGCGATGGCGAACTTGGACCGAACTCCCATGTTACATAGCAGAAAAGACCAGATCAAAGAGGTGGAAAAACTGCATCGAAGAAGATTAAAAAGGCTAGTTTAATCGCTAAAGTAGGGTCCTCAATGATTGAGACCATTGGAGCATTATTGCAGAAGAGGCCAATACCCATGAAGGATTGTAGTGTCATAATATATGTATAAGGTTGATTAGTTAAATTGATATATAATATATATACAATTTAACAAACAAACATTTAATCCACTGGGACAGGAGAATTATCACTTTAAAAATATATACAGTAGGTAATGTTTAGCTGCTTGGAGAGGGATAACTGCTCTATCACCGAATGGCGATGATGAGGCGCTGGTTTACCCTGGGTACAACATCATAAGTACAATAAATTTTAAAAATCAGTAAAAGTAAAACTTAAATCGCGCTAAAAAAATACACAGCTGAAAGCACAGAGTCGCACCAAATAGTACTAAAACAATACTTGTAATGAGATAATTCCAAATAAGAGTTTAATAAAAAAAAAATTACTATTTACAAAAAAAAAACCATATAATTATGTTTTTTTATGTAATAGAAGGCAAACGGGCAGGAGGCTCGTCTGATGTTAAGGACACATCCATGGACACTCACATTGCCAGGCTCCCAAGTGCGTTGCCGGCTAAATCTAATGCTACTTATAAGGCACAATTAGGAAAAGCCAAAAACACCAAGAAACAAAATTTAGGTTTACATTCTGAAATGTTATTCTATTTGTGACTCACATAAATTGCTAAAAAAAACGTGTGGCACTCAGGGACTGCCGCGGTAAAGCTATTGCATAGCATTTTTTATCAACTTATGCAGTTATAATTATTTATTTATTTTTTATTTATGCAGTATTTGTTTTTCTTTGATATTAATTCAAGTTTTTCCTTTGATATTATTTCAATCTACCACTCTACCAGACTCAGACTAAAACGCCTATATAGTCTGTCTCACTCTAACGCGTACCGGCTGCACCGGCCGCGCTCACGCTACGTCACCGATCTCGTCAGAGAGATGGGAATGCGCAGTATGCGTTCTGTCCCACTCTCTGCGTATTTGCCGCACCTATATTACGTCATCGTGTGTTAGGTTTTTTTCGTTACGGAATTTCTTGATTCGGTTGCCGCGCTCAAAGCCCGCGATAAAATCTATAGCAATTGCTAAAAAATTTAACCTTGCTAAAATAAACAACCTCTCATTAACATTTAGCTGTCGGACGTCAGCGGCAATAATTAAACTAAATTACTACACTAGTTCTATGTTTAATTCAAAATAGTTTACAGATATAATTTTAATCTATGGTTTGTTCTACGTGAATATCTACGGTTCGTACCTTACAAGAAAACAATGTTCTCTGGAAATAGGTACGGGTTTCTCTTTCAGATAAAGTACGCGATTAAAGCGTCCCCTAGTAATTGGCTACCCGACTCCGAAGAACAAATGCCTCTTGACCCTTTCTTGTTACTAAATGTCACCATTTACGGTTATCACTATTTTAAAACTATACATACTTAAAAAAGAATTAAGGATTGTGTGACTAAAAATAAACTTTTTAGTTCTAAATTGCTGACACCTTCACACGGCTGGACATTTATTTTTCCATTACAAAGAATTAAATAAAAGTTTCCTCTTGTCATATAAGTATAGATTCCCGCCATGTGGAACCAACTGCCCACTGAAGTATTTCTGAACCAATTCGACTTAGGGTCCTTCAAGAAAAGAGCGTACAAATTCTTAAAATTTCGCACTTGCGAGGCTTTTGGCATTGAGTGTGGAGAATGTCCATGGGCAAATCCCTTGTAATGGGCGGTATCACTTAACATTAGGTGATCCTGGTGCCCGTTTCCTATTATTAAAAAAAAATAAAAAGCATAATGCATATACTGGGTGAGTCTTGCTGGTTTATAAAACTTTTGGCAGACAATCTACAGCAGAAAGAAAATGCAGGTTTAACTTGGAATTCTTTAAATTTTGATTTCGGCGGTTATATATTGCGGAATTCGCTTGACTCGCGTAGCGAAAATGCATCTCTTGATTACATTTATTGTCTTTTAATTTTATAATATTAGGCCATAAATGTTTTATTTGTCTGTATATCTAATGAATTAAATATATAAATCAACTCTACGCCGCCGCGCGTTCCAGGTTTCGGCGCGGACGTACCGTGATGTTGTGTAGCCAAAAGTCTTCCTCAATATAGCAAGAAGTTCCTATTAACGATATCAAACAATTTCAGCTGTGAATTAAAAATAAGTTTAGAGAATAGAAAATTATGAAAAGAACATAATTAGTATCCGCTTAACATACAAGCTGAATATATTATGTAAGTATGCCTAAAACCTAATGCCTATCGGCAAACAGTTGTTATTCCTTAAAGCTTTTCTTCGACAAAGCCCTAACAGTTTCACAATCTAGGCGTACATTCCGGTACGATTCCACATTAGACCCGCTATCTTTTTTATATCATCCTCCCATCTTCTTATG